GAATAACATTAAGATGAGAGTGAATGATACGCAAGAAAGCAGAATCAACCGCTAGCAACAAAAAATGCTCCGATGTAGTAACTCTTTATATAATAAGGTAAATGACAAGACTGTAACTTGCCTTTCTTCCCTTCACCGAAAGGCCTCTTTCCTTAAGAAAAGCACCTAATCTCTCCACTGTATAGCTCTGCAGATCTTTGTCGAGCAAGCGTGATGATCCCGCTGTATGTTCACATTCACACACACACACACACACACACACACACACACATCTTTAAGCTCCAAACTCTTCCATCTTGGTTAAAGGAGGTCAAGTCAAGGCCCTATTTAGCATACACTCAAACAGAATTTACCCGAACCTGAATGACTCACATCTGTAAACAACTTTCAAAGATTACCCTTAATTTAAAACCAAGTTTCAGAAGCTTAAAAATTCCCGTGAGTTGTTTCAGACATGCCGACCAATAAGTGCATGTGTAGAGGTAATTGAGAGGTCAATATAATCTAACTGCATGTGTAGATGGACTCATTATTACCTTTTCCTAGAACCTTGACTTGAAGCAGTAACTTTCTCCCATCTTTTGATCAGCTAGAGTTACCTTTTTGATTCTTAATCATAAGAGACCTAATCAATATACTTGTTTGGTTCGTCGTTATAAGCTGACTGTCGGACAACGAACCAAGTTGAGATACCCCATTTATATACATCACAAGGAACCAATGTGAAAGAGATAAACAACATAATTGAACACAAGAAAGAGCCTGCATGATCACACACCTAAATGCATCATCAAGTAGGTACATATTCAAAAATTAAGGACATACAGATGCTAAAGAACTTGTGAACCTGTGGTAGTAGTTATTTTTACCGGAGTTAAATCAAAAGATTGAATTCCCGGGTTGTATCGCAAGGAAGGTCAGCCGGATTATTTCATATGTATATTCAATCACAAAAAAGGAAAATAATCCTAAACACTTTAATTCAATTGATTCAGATTTTTCGATTAGCAACTAACTTTTCCAAACAACGCAAATAAACAATTATCAATTCTTCAAACGAGTTTCTTATAAGGATGAGGAGGCTAGGGAATCGGGGATGATGGTTCTCAATTCAAATGCAAATACCAAGCAATGATCGATCGGTTAGATGAATCACTCAACCTACACGTCTAGAGATTTAGCCTCAATAACTTTTTGTAACAAGAGGGTAAACATAGACGGCAAATCAGACAAATCAACAACACATAGGCAATATAATGACGAACAAGCCTATTCTAAATGAGCTTAGGTCGAACAACTCCTCCCCTTTCGGTTCTACAAGTTTTTTAAATGGATTAAAAGGTGATCAATCTTTCAACCCTAGGTGTAATTCAACCCGCATAGAAAGAACGAATAACAAAGCAAGATAAACACATGAATACGAGCAACCATCCCCTATACCTAGCCAATGGACTTAGCTACTCATGTTAATGCAAACACAAGAAATAATATCAATCACATACACCAAACTCATACTCAAAATGAGAGGAAAACTTACGATTAATACCAATCAAGTGTTGAATCTCAAGCACAATCCAAATCCACAACGAAATACTTGGAGTGCCACCCTCCAAAATTCAAATTCAAGCCAAAAATTGTTTTTTAAGAAGGAAAAATTGAAAAGTACAAAGTCTGGAATGTTTTTTTGTGCCCTAGCACGATCCCCTATAAATAGCCCCTCAAAATCGTGCAAGGTTTCGAGTTTTAAATCTGGTCGTTCCGACCTGCGGACCGCGGAAAAAGAAGTCGCGGGCCGCGGAGAGTGTCGCGGGTCGCGGGAACTGGGACGCTTCAGCCTCTGTTACTCTCGCGGGCCGCGGGAACTGGGAAAATCTGGTAGTTCATCTCTCTGTTATTTCTGCGGGCCGCGGGTTTTTAGCTGGTCACGTGAACTCATCCGGGGCTGAAAATCTCGAGAAAAGGTAGAACTCGACCGGAACCATATACTCTCCTGCAACTAAAAACAAACAAACACACGAAGAAAACCAAAACGAACGAAGAACGACTGAAAAAGCAGAACTATAAAAACTAACGAAGCAGACCGAAAACACTAAAAAAACTAAGAAAATGGAGAATAACAAGTAAATAAACAAGGAAAAAGGGTAACAAATATAGGACAGACGACTCCCCCACGCTAAAACCTTTGTTCGTCCCGAACAAAAAGAAAATAGAAGAACGAGCATAACCAACGACGTCAAGCAAGAAGAGTCTCAAACTGCTCAAGTCAACTGAGAAGCATTCCAACAACCACAAAACCTGTAACACCCCGCCTATTATTACTAATATCAGAGTAAATTTTTCGCGCTATAATTAGAAAACACTGATTTATTTTTTTTTTTTAAAAAAAAAACTCTCATAATTTTTTTTTCCAAATACTTTAACTTTAATTTGTAGGATGTTACTCATCTTTAATATTTATCTCTTTAGAGACTCTAGGCATACATGCATCTAACTGTACTCTTACTGTCCCTCGGACTCTGGGCCAGTAATTCATGGATAGTCTAAAGGTCTTAAATATGAAATACAAGTATGAAATACAGAAGCAAATAATAGTTCGAATTCACAACCATACATAATTAATGCAAACATGCTCAAATATACTACATGACATTTTCTCAAAATATCCTTAAGCTTTGACAACCACCACATATCCAGCTCACACACCACGCGGGACCGGCATATGCAAGTACTTACTAGGTTTGGCATGAAAGATACGATGATAAACATTATACTGACGCATCGCAAACTAAACATACATCTAATATGATAAACACATCACAACCTAAGCATACATCCAATATGAAAAAAACACATCACAATCTAAGCATACATCTAATATGATAAACACATCACTACGGCGTATAAGTAAGTAAACTGTCTATAACTGTTGCTCAACTTACTGTATATAGTTGTTGCTCAATTGATCTGTCTATAACTACTGCTTAACTGACGATAAGGACACTTGGCCTTCACGCTTACGATAAGGACCTAATCCATAGGTCATACTAGGGCAAAACTAACTCTTTTGCACTTTTAAAGTTAGAGCTTACCTCAGAGTTGTGCTAGAGTCCTTAATACTAACTGGAGTTTGAAACACTTGGTTGTAATGCAACCTATCTCTAGGTCAATGCCCCCTTGAGGAAGAAACATTCTATAATTACCACTTAACCTAAATCTGTACTAAGGTTCTTAATTCACTTAATTCAAGTTTCAGTGGAGTTCTTATTACATCTTAACTAACGTTCGAATCATTTAGATAGAAAGGACCTACTCGCTAGGTTATTGCCCCTATTCAGTCAAAATAACTCTTACATACATACCTCAACCAGGATATTGCGATTATAGAAAATGTAGCACCCAGTACAGGGTCCCCACCTGATACGCTGAAATGCAATTGCTGAATGGAACTGTTAGAGGTTCTACTTCCCACAAGCTACAAAATATATTCTAAGTACTAGGTTCGAACCGAAAATTTGAATCTTATTATCAGATCTCACAAGGCTCGCTCACTCGCTTTTTAAATCATTTAATATTCATTTTAGGAATTTACGAGCTGATTTTGAAAAATTATTGTCTTTTAGGCATTATAGAGCTCTTCGAAATAATTCTAAGTCTGAACTATATTCTTACTGGATTCTAATCTGATTGGATCTCATCTGACTGGTTCGTAAAAATTGGATTCTCGGTTCACGCTCAAACTAATGTTCCTAAGTGAACTCCCGAACCATCTGGGCTGCCTGGACTAATTCGGCTGCACTGGAATTCTCTTCGAACCGTCCGGACTGATTGGACTGATTACACTGGACTGGACTAGCGGCTCACTCAGAACTGACCAAACATTCGCTTGACTATGTGCATCTCGGCTTAACCGTGGTCTGGGTTCGGCGTAGCAACTCTGGGCACGTACGAACACCCTGACACAACTTTGCCGACGCACGGGATTTAAATGGTGCTATGGTACTTGCCCGATTAGATAGGGTCCGTTATGTGCTTCGTAAGGCTGATCGGGCTTTCCCCGATTAGACAAACACGTCTGACGCAAGGGCATGCTTGGACTACGTCTAACAGAAAATAACGTGTTAACAGTAGGTCGGACGGACGCACGAGCGTTGAACAGAGCGCAGAGGTGCGGCTCGGTCGGACTCGGTGCACGGGCACGCACTCGGTAGCTCGGCTCCTACGATCAGGCGAGAATGCGACACGTTGGGATGACGATACGCGTTTACGATACGTGCTATTGCACGTCGAGTGGATAATTCCGCTCGCTACGAGGTACACGACCTCGACAACCTTCTTAGGCTCGGTTATGGTCCCATCGGCGACTAATCGGCCGACCGACCACATCTCGACACCCAAGGAAATCATTTATAATCTTACAAAATCTAAAGTTATTTATACCGTACTAGGATTCGGGCGTTTAAACTCGAATCTAACTAGGGTTTCTGATCTCCAAAAAACTAACTCATTTCAAGCCAATATTTAAACCCTAATCTCTATGTGATTTATAAGAAATTTACATTCAACCACTACAGCTAAATCACAAACGGAACAAATTTTTGTAAAATTATCGCAAAATGAGGCTAACGTCCCGATATATTAACCATATCAAACGACATACAAAATTCACGAAATTTAAAACACAACATCCTCAACATACACATGATATATGGTCAAAATATCACATCCAAATTCAAGTCATAACTCATCCAACTAAAAACAAGCATTAAGGTCCAAAATCACAAAAATCGGTTCGACTATCTAACGAACTCCAAAAATTACCAAATCCGAACCTAAGCCTCAAGACAATTCCACATGATTTATAAAATTAAAAATCACGATTTTTATCAATTACATAAACCGAGATCGACAAATCATCGCTTCAAGCTCGTAAAGTCTCAATAAATTCAAATCTCACCAAATCACCAAATTATCATTTTTATAATTAACTATAAATCATGTCTAAGCTCTTGGAGAAAGGATCAAGTCAATATACCTAAAATTAGGCTCAAATCAAAATTGGAAAGTCGAGAAGGCTAGTGAAAATGGCTCGGTTGAACCGGACCGGGTCGGTTCGGGGCTGAAAGGGATCGGATCGGTGCTGTGGGCCTCGGGTCGGAGCTGAACCTGCTCGGTTCTTGTCGAATTTGGAGTGCTCTTCGTGGATTGGGTCGAGAGGAGCGGGAACTAGGCTCGTCGGCGCGTGTGGATGTGAGTCGGTGCGAGTGGAGTAGGTTCGGGTGCATGGTGGCTCGGACGTGGTCGGAATGCTCTGGTGCAGGCTCGCTGGGGTCGATTGAAGCTTTTAGAACCAGAGCTGGGCGCGACCGCACGAGATGCCGGGAAAAGATGGGAAGGCTGGGACGACGCAGCTCGACGTGAGGTGCAGCGAGGCCCGGGATCGAACGGACTAGCTGGTCGTGGTCATGTAGGCTCGACAGCATGGACGAGGGCTCGGCTTGCGGCGGGGCTGAGTAGGGGATGGTGTGAATGAGGTGAACGGCGCGGGGTTGAGGTCGAGAGCTCGTCGGCGGCTAGGTTTCACCGGATTCTTGGTCGGATTTGGTGATGGCTAGCAGATGTGTATGGTGGCTTGGGTTTGTGTGTGTGTTGGGAGGATAAGAGGATGGAGATGATGGTATATATATAAAGTAGGTGTAGGAATTAGGATTTTGTGTTGTAGTTTGGCTTGGAATTGTATGATTGGGCTTTTAAAAATCGAGCTTTGGCGGAATATGGACTTAGGCTTAGTATTTAAATGTTTGGGCCAATTTTTAAAACCAAATATGGCTAACTAAAATATACCGAAGCTTGGGCTCAAATAATTGGTCGATCGAATTTAACAAAATAATTGGGCTCAAATTTAAAAATCGGACATGGGCTCAATTTAAAAAATGGGCTAAATTAAAAGCGAACATGGGATCGATTAAATGAAATGGGCCAAAATAAAATGGATCGGTTATTGGGCCGAGGCTCGGCTCGGCTCGTCCGGGATCTGACCGGACTTTAATAAAATTTGGATTGTTCCATGACTCAGTTTTACCTTAAAATTAAAACTGATACTTGGTACATCTGATGCTTGTTTTCGACTTTAGGCTATAATACGCAGACACCAACAGAGCCTCTTGTTGATATGGCTCCATATTCTGTGTGCGTTCGTGAAGACGAGTGTAACACCCCACCTTACTGTAAAATCAGAGTTGCGCAATTATTCTCAAAATCTTTGAAAACTAAAAACATTTTTCTTTGCGAAAACTGATTCGGGGTGCTACCGTGAAAAAAATCGTTATTTAACTTAGAAAAACCGTTGTTTTAATTTAATAAAAACGTCCGGTTACTGAAAACTTTATTTTCTGAAAAGTTCGTCAAAATATAATAAGTTCGTCCAAATCATCAAAAACATCGTCAAAAGATCGTCATAATGTAAGCGAAAGCGTAAGTCATAGTTATACAGTCCAAAACATATAT